TCTCTGGAGCGTCCTCCTCGTTTTAAAGAGCCGTCCATCCTCAAACATCCACACTTACCCAGAGATGTGAGTGCTTTTGGGGAAGAGAAATTAAAATCTCAGATTTTTACATACCAGATCTGATTTTTGATATTAATCTTTTTTTTCTTGCTTACTTTTCTTTAAAAAAGAAACTCTAAATTGCAGAAAATATGTTCAAAAAGTTGGTTTTATTTCATTCACTCCTTCTGCAGGTTGTATGATGGAGTAAAAGGGCCAATTAAACAAGAATTGTTTAATTAGGATAACATACTAGAGCCAGACTCTATGACTAAAAAACATATCAAGATGTAAGTCTTTTCTATCAGTGGATATCAATAATTATTGATATTTTTTTTAGTTTTAAATATGTTAAATACTTCTAAGCTGATGATGTGACCTTTCCCTTTTTGTCACTCCCCTTTATTCTTTCTATTTTTAAGCAGTTATGAGGCACAATAGCGAAAACTTAAACTGCTGCTGCTCCTCCAGTTAACAGGTTGTTGCTAGGTAACTAAAGAGTGAGTTGCTAGGTAACCAAGAGTGAGAGAGCGAGTTGATTCCACCAACCTATTTTAGTCAGCTTTGAGAGGTTGAGCAGCTAAAGCCGTTCCTCTGCCTACATCCCCCAGAATGCTGTGCAGCTCTGGACTGGAGTTCAGTAAAATTATTGAATATTCTTTTATCGATTATTGATTAATGATTTTTTTTTTTTTTAAGTCTGGGAATGATTAGTACATACTAAAGATGTAATTACTTTTGCTTTTTCCCTTGCTAGAAATCCTTTAAAATATTTGAAGTTAATCAATTAGGGGTTATATTTTATATGTTAAACAACATTATTAAGATTGGGTGATTTTTATGTTAATTTGTGTTTTGTTCTCAGGTTTATAGGATGTTTGTAAGAGAAAGATTTAAAAACATAACATTTTGTTACATTTTAATTTACCTTGTCTCTGCTGTAAAATACAGAATATTATCACAGGACATTAATAACTGTAAAAAAATTAAATTAAATTATATAATCGTGAATTGAAACTGTTTGTTTATTTCATTTGTATTGATTTTAATTCCAAAGTGTGCAGCTGGAAAACTAAAACTTACCTTAAAAATGCTTGAAAGTCCTTACATTTGTCTGCTTAGAAAACTCGATAAACTCATTTGAGAACTGTATGTTATATTTACACAAATTGTTTAAAAATTCATTTGGTCGGAATCAGTTAAATGTGACAAAAAAAAAGTAAAAACGGGGAGTCAGTAAGGAGGTAATGCAGCCCAGCAGTTGTGTAACGTAGAGCTTGCTTTTGCTCCTGACAGGAGACTGTGCTGTTTGAGTGGGTCAATCCTCTGTACCTGGATATTTCCTACCAAGAGCAGATCCAAACCGAGTTTGAAGACAGCTCTGAAATTCAGCTCAAAGATTTTCTAAAGGTAACAGCTCTGCCTTCATCTTCACTTCCCGTATCCAGGTATTCCTCCAGGTTTATTGTCAGATTATGTCCTCAGGAGGAGAAGTTCAGGGAAGTGAGTGAAGCTCTGCGACAGACTGGCATTCGGTGGATGAAGAGAGGTCCACCCAACAAAAGGTTGGTGACGTCGGCCAGCTCTGAGGTTTCACATTTAGCGGATTCTCATGCTAAATGTTGGCTTTAGGTGTTACGAATCGGCCTCTGTTGACTCCCTGCCGGAGTGTGTGAGTGTGTGCTGGGAGCTGCTCCGCTCAGAGGCCTTCTTCCTCCTCCTCTCCAACTTCACCGGCCTCCGGCTGCACTACCTGTGTCCGGCAGATGAGGAGGACGAAGAGGGAGAGACGAAGGACGACAAAGAGGAGGGGGAGGTTGCAGGAACGTCAGCAGAATCGCCATCATCGTCATCATCATCAAAGGCAGGCACCGACAAAGGAGGGAAAAGTATGTGAAAATGTGGGTTGAAATTAGGACTGCAACTAACAATTACTTAGATAAAAAAAACTGGCACATTCTGCAGATTTTTTATTTAACCACGCAAGCCTACATTACACAGTATTAGAAATACATTGCATTGTAACCAGTTTTTAATGTATTTCTAATATACTTCTGGTTTATTTTAGATCAGAAATTAAACCTTTTTTTGCCTTTACTTGATAATTTGTAGCAAAGGATCCATCTATATATATATATAAAAAATAATAAAAGAAATATATATATAAAAAATACTTATCATCATTGAAAAGCTCAGTTCTTTCGTCTTGACTGAGATTTTTGTTTTTACACATTTTAAATTGGCTTAAGGTAAAACTATACCACTTGGGGAGATCTGGGTAGAACATATCAAGGTTTATTATTATCTTAAATGCAAACTATATGTATTACGTAACCCTTCAATGTTCATCTCAGGTGCAGTAGGTTGACCAGTAGGTTGACGTCACGACAGACACATTCAGGTTCTCTGCATTTATTCTAAAAAAAGAGGAAATCAAGTTGGTGGTTAACATCAGTCCAGCAGCTTCTGCCCCATTACATTAAATAAAATATAATAAATAACCCAGAACAAACCGCAAAGCAATATCTCCCAATGAGCAGTTAGCAGCAGTTAGCATTTGTAGCTAAACTGGGCAACATTAACAATGATAACATTTAGAAACAAAACACAAAACATAACAAATTTTCTCAGATTTCATGTGTGAAATTTGTACACTATCAAATTTATCCAGCGTATATTTTAAAATATAATACTTATAAAGAAAACACAGAGCTCATTCTGACAGTTACCGATGGCAACAGAAAAAGGGGGAGGAGCTGTCAGTTACCGGTTACTATGGTAACCACCAACTGCCAAGTGCAGCGCACACAAATTAAAACACCAATAAATGTCTGGAGAAACAACTTGTTGGCTAAACAAATTAAATTCAAATAAATAACTTTTGACAAACTTCACATTTAAAAACTTTGTTTCATATATATTGTACAGTTTTGGCTTAACTTCTGCTCTAAATATGTTGCTCTTTCAGCAAAGTTGCCGTTTTGTGAGTCTGTATTCTCCAATTTGAAGATTAATCGATCACTAAATTAGATGAGAATCAGTTAATCATGATTAATCCGGTTAATCGTTTCAGCCGTAGTTGAAACGTTTGCTCAGTCACAGGTTTGTTCTTGTGGACTGTCTGATCTTCTTCTTCAGAGCTGAGCTCGCCTGTGTGTTGTGGAGAAGTGCGTCGCTGGTCTCATGGCGGTTACACTCTGTTGCATGATGCTGAGGCTGCACAGGCGGAGTACGCTCTGGACCTCATCCTGCCGTTTGGCTGTGCAGGTGAAACCCAAACACACGTACACAGTAAGCTGACCCTTAAGATTTCACTGTAATACTCACAGAATGAATGTCTCACAGACTGGGAGGCAGAGTTTGGGGGTTTCACGTGTTATATTGCCAACGAAGAAGATGAGGAAGTGAGTTTCGACAGGTCTAAAGGCAAATATTTGCACAGCACATCTGTGAATATAATTAATTTTCTATTTTTCAGCTTCTCACTGTGTACCCAGAGGACAACTCCCTCGCTCTCGTCTACAGGGACAAAGAAACCCTCAAATTTGTCAAGCATGTCAACCACAAAAGCTCCCATGTGGACAGTTCCACCTGCAGAGAGTTTTATGACTTCTCTTTTGTCTACTATGAATAAACATATTTTTGTCACTGTGTATGTTGGAGTTTTTTCCCCCATAAATATTATGTTAGGCATTAAAAGATGGACGTTAATATTCATGTTGAACTTCATATTTTAGAAATATAGTATGAATATAAATTGTATTGGTAAATAACTAATTTTAAAATATTTTTAGACAGTCAAAATAGAAATAATTGTATTAACATCCTGAGTTTGCCCAAATCTGCTGGTAAATGAGCCAGAAAGACACCCAAACATATAAGTAACTTTTTTTAAAAATTCAAAATGGTTTCCAACTTCTCGTGTAGCAAATCAATGAAGCCTCCGGTACAAACTGCACAGACTCGTAGTTCAACAAGATAATTGATAGTTGCATATTTGGCTCAACTACATAACCATATGTATGGTGGAAAACAAACACTGCAGATCACCTTGAATGCATAATGTCTACAGGGAAACATGGTAGTGGCACCATCATGCTGTGAGACAGGGAAGCTGGATGAAGCAAAAATATTGGAGGCTGTAAATGACTAAAGGTTCACCCGTCAAGCAGAACAACAATAAACATCCGGTCAGAGCTACAATGAAAAGGGTGCCAAAGAAACAGGAGCATTGATATTTAACTTTGTTGTAAATTGACAAAATACGAAAGACTTCAAGTACTTTTGTGAGGCGTTGTTGGAAATTAATATAATCCTCTTCATATGATTGAGCCAATATGTCTACCTTTGCTTCAGGAGCTTGTTAAGCTCCTGAAGCAAAGGTAGATTTCTAAATGAGAAATCTTACAAAGATTTAGAAATCATCGTAAGATTTCAAAATGAGAGCCATTAAACAACCACTTCTTAAGCTGACAATATTATGATGCAAAATAATCCACACCAACCAAACCTGGGCAAAGTGAAACAGTTGTTTTTTCCAAAAAGAAACTACTAAAAATATTAAATTGATTATCTTGATTAAAAAATATGGATTCCAGAAAATTAATAAAGCCCCAAAGGTTATGCCTGGACTGTACAACTCTTTCATTTGGTAAACAAATCGGACAGACAGGATGTAAGTGAAAGTTACAAAGAAGCAGCATTTTAGCTCATAGTGTTGCTATGACACAAAACATGATCAAGCTAACAATTTTAACTATCTCCTATTGTATTTTGCTTGTATTTAAAAGATTCTGCTTTAGTTGTTTTATATAACTATTTAATAATAAATGCTGACTGATTAGTTTACTGGGTGTTTTGTCCTACATTAACTGGAGGGCGGACCGCCTTCTTCCTGTTGGCCACCGATTTTTTTCTTCAACACCATGCGGGTTTAACCAATCACAGGCAAGCTCGCTTCAGCTCAGCCAATGAGAGGCCAGGAAGTCACTTCTATGTCAAACAGTAATTTGTCAGGAGGAAGCACTGCCGAACAACATAAAAAGTTTTTTTTTCTTTTGAGGTAAGTTTGTCCCCACATTAAGTTTTACCTAACGACGTATCAGAAGAAGAGTTACTTAGAAGTCCCGCGAGTTTGTTTTTGTGTGTTTAAACTGCGCAGCAATAATTTAAAACGGTGAGATTTTTTTTGTTGCTGTGCGTAAGGTCTACTACTAGCATCTCCACTACAACGACGTCAACACAATGTTACAGAAACATAAAACTCAGTTTCTATCTCAGTCTGCATGCAATTAACGACACGGATCAATTACTGATGAATAGTTACAATATTTAACAAGTAACCAACTTTTATTGTAACTTAAATCACCTGTAGCTTTGGGTCCGCTGGTGTAGCACTGTGTTAAGAACTTTGTTGGTTAATCTCATACATTAACAATGCATACAAGTTGTTTTGCAACAGCAATATGAAAAAGTAATATTGCTTTTCTAAAAACACATTCTAAAACATCGTGTGTTCAAGTAAAAGCTTATGGAGTTAGCAGTAAAAACTATAATTCAATGATTAGCGTTGTTAACGTATTTATAGATTTATTATTAATGAAAGACATTGTGTTCCTTACAAGTAAAAAAAAAAAAAAATACACCTTCACATTTCTCGCAGTACACCCATAAACATTAATACGTTGAATTGTGACTTCATGTGACTGAAAAACCTAAATTACAACCTAACTCTAACATGGAAAATATTCTGCATTTTTAGAAGTTTTACAAATTAAATTATAAAACGTGTTTGTGCATGTGTATTTCTGACCCCCTTTATTATTGTTAAAGAAGAAAAGCATCCCTGCAGCATGTTGCTGCTACCAGCATGTTTCACGTTGTCATGATGTGTTTTGGTTGATTTTGTTTCCTTTGCTACATCCATCAAGTTTAGTTTTGGTTTCATCTGACCAGAGAATCGCTCTCCACGTCTTTGCCAAATTATGTTGTAAATGCTTAATATGTATTCTCACCTGAGCGCTGGCTGCCTTTCTAAACAATCGCCTCCTCTACAGGCCAGCCAGTTTTAGTGGGTTATTATGTCTTGGTAGTTTGTAGTTGTTTCCATGGTTATATGATTGAATGAATAGAAATGTTAAAATCTTGGGATAATGGCTGCACAATTTATTGCAAATTTACCATTTATACTCAGCATCCATATAATAAAAAAGTGCATGCACTGCGCAAACTATGAGCTAAAGATACTACAGATTCATGCTTGTTATTCCAATGTTACATTTTGTTGTGTTAGTCTGTCAGTGCGACAAAAATTGTTTAAGGAGGTCATCATGTTGTCGATATAAAAAAGTTTTTTTTTTCTTTTTTGCTAAAAAAAAATCAGGTGTAGCCAAAGGCATCGTTTGCAATAAAATACTGTTGCTGAGATAGAAATAATGAATTCAATTATTTTTCATTAACTGGACACATTACTCACTATCTGGGGTTTGCAATTAACTCAGAACAGAAAGACATTAACATTTATAGAAAAGCATATTGTCAAAGCAAAATTTACCAATATTATTGTATACCATGTTTTCTTGCTTTATAAACTAACCGCACCTTAAATGTTTCTTTTTTTGTAACTTTCTCCATGATCCTGTTTGTTCACTAATGTTCTCTAACAAACCTCTGAGGCCTTCACAAAACCTTTTCAGATTTGTATTTGCAGAAAATATTTTAACCTTTTGCTTCCACTTTGCAATAACTTTGTGTTTATCAATTAAAATCTTAATAAAATGCAATAATGTTTGTGGTTTTAGCTTGACAAAATGCAAAAAAATTACAGAGTATGGAATAGTTTTTTAATTTTAAGGACAAATCAACTCATACATTAACTTAAACGTCTCTGTTCTTAGTTCTGTTCAGCCCAACTTGATCTTATTTAGTATCTGTAGGGTAAAGCTGTATTTGTAAGATGTTAGTTTCTTTCTAAAGACGAGTAATAATCAGGAAATACTCCATCCACACTGGAAATATTTTTTTTTGTACAGAGAGCGATCCCTGTTACATGCAGTCAGTAAGCTGAAGTCCTGTAATCCTTCTATGTTCCCTGTTTCAACATAATGCCTCCTGTCTATATAGATTACAATAAATTAAACCATTTCAGGAGAAATGAACCAAATTATAATCTCTAGTCTTATATCACAATGACACACGTATTGAGAAGGCAACAAAGTTCAACAAGATAGTTGATATAAGTCAAATGAAAATAAAAAGTAAAGATAATTTATCATCATCTGTTCGGTCCAGCTTTATATTTTCCTTCCATAACAGTATGAAGATCAATTTTAATACATTGATTTTCTTAATTAGTTTTTATTTTTACGTGTGTACCAGCAGATATTTTCTTTGATGTTTTGTAGTGTTTTAAGGGGAGTTGCAGTTCAGTGCCGCCTCTGCACTGACAGTAAGGTTCGGTTAATGTCAAATCTGGAATAACTGGGTGGAAAACCCCCAGATTTATAAAGTTTAGTAAGAAAATGTGGGAGAAGATAAGATGCTGGGCATACTGGTATCCAGAAACCCTGAAGTGAAAACTGAAGAGCGCATTAATTATTAATTAGATAATTCACTCGTTGACTCGCTTCACTTCCTGGCTTGTGCCACTGGGATATTTACTTTGACTGGGAGGTTCATTTAAAGGGCCAGTTGACTGATGGCAGAACGAGCTGTTAGGATTTTCAGGTTTAGAACCGATTCACTCTGAAATTATAACGTCAGACTACACCGTGTTTAAAATATGACAGAGGTAAAGTGTGTTTTTATTGGTTATATGATAAGACAAACGTCCACTTTTACATCATTTCTACATCTAGGTTTTAACGGGGCAGAAAACCTTTTTCTCAGTATTTAGCTGGACTGTTATTACAATACAAACAATGTACCAGGGCAGTGGAATCAACGTTCTGCAGTGTGATAATAAACATGACGATAATAACCATTTACTACATCTTTTTAAATGTGTGTCACAGCAATTATAGTCCCACAAGCACAAATAATGTTCTTGAAAAGCATTCCCATATGTAATGTGCTTCTTAAGTCACATAAAGAAGTGGGATATTCATCACACAGTATCTATATTTTCAAATTTATTGGTGTTTATTGACACTTTCATTGAACAAACAGTGGAAAAAGTATTAAGCTATCAAACCTGACAATAAGGGTGTTTTATTTCTTCAACATCATTAATTGGAGTTCATCGTGACAACAATAAATAAAAATTGAATTGAATTTATGGGTTGAACGCCCATAAATAAAAATACAGATTAAGGTGATGGAAATGAGCCATTTTAAAGTTTTTACCCTGAAATATAGGAAAAGTTTGATATTATTATACTAATAAGGTAAGCACACAGCTAATAATCGATTTATTCTGTTGATTAATTGACACATCCTCCAGATTTCTTATTTAATAACCACTTAAAGCTCTTTATAGAATATGAGAAATACATAAAAATGAAAATAAACAATTTAATTCCTTTTAAAATAAGAAAATAACAATTTTATTGCCTAAAATGCAATAAAAATTAACGCTTGTTCATTTGTAGTAAAGGTTGGATTTATTCATATGAAAGTTTTTCATCTTCAATATATATATATATATATATATATATATATATATATATATATATATATATATATATATATTTTTTTTTTTTCCACAATTTTTTCTCAATTTCTCTTTTTTTTTAGAAATTT